ATCCATCAGCCCCGCCGCTTTGTTGTTCTTCAAAAGGGTAATTTTTCATGGTCGGGCAAAGGAACGTTCGCTTCATCGTCATCGATTGAGAAACTGGGTTCACCATCTCCGGGAGTTATGCTTTCAGTGCCATTCAGCAGGTTAAAGAACTGTTCCTCACATCATTTCAGTTCGCTCTGGGTATCAGTCGGTAGATCACCTCTTGGTGTTCTATAAGAGTATACTCTGATCTCTCGCTTTCCCCTTCTGCTCTCGGTACCTATCCCATCCCGCACGTTTTGTAGTCGATTGTAACATTGCGTAGGAGACAATCTATTTTCCCACTTATTTCCACACGGCACTCCTGTTTTTTTCGAAAACCTATGATCTAAATCAGTAGAATACGGTAGTTGCGGCACTGTATTGGTTCAAAATTTTGCTAAATACTCATGAAAAATCAATGCAATAAGCGAAGGTGCATTTACGGCTTCAGCTCAGCTTTCCCACGATATTCGGCCGTTTCATTGTCTGTTTCTGGGTCATAAGCATAGATCCAAGACTCATGCCCAATAATAATACCTTTCATGGCATTATGGCAGTCAGAAAGCATTCTATCAGAGGAGTTAACCTCTTTTTTATTAAGTGTTGATCATCAGTTGATATTTATGGTCGCCCTGTGGTTCGTCATCAATACGTTCTCGACTCTCTTTGAATATTTTGAACCAATCAAGAACACTTGCTTCCGACAAACAATTACCAACAAAGGCCTTTTCTAACAATTTTAAAGTTTCGGTATTAGAAATTTGATTCCGCACATAAAACATAAAGCAACTTCTTTGTTTAATAATTTCCCTCATCACAAACATCGTCGAAAATACTTTATGTACTTCACTAGTGACTATTTTGATGTGACATTTGGTACAGTTGTAATTGACAGTCATACCAACTTAGAAAATAAATATTTCGATGAATGTGCTTTCGCGCGAAATTTAAATTAATAAGACAAACTATACTTTTGCTCAGAGAAGTATATACTTTATAGAGTCTCGAGAATTTTGGATGTTAAAAACATGGAGACTAACTTTCTGTACATAGGTTCAGGTATAAAGAGTGGTAAACCAAAACAACTGTAAACATTTGCGAATCACTAAACTAATTTAATTACCTAAGCTATCTTATATATATATATATATATAAAATCTTTCTCTCACAATAAATCAATCAATTCATCAGCGCAGCAAAGACAATACTTTAGTAAGTAGGCCAAGTTCAGTAGACCAACTTAGCAATGAGCGTCTGATAATCTACTACGAATGCTTTTAAGAATATTTTTGCATGAGTATATATGCTTACGAGCCCACATAACTAAAAGAAAGAATTAATATTGGATGGTGTAGGCTATGAAAAATTATGCCGTATATGCGTTTTAACCGACGGCAAAAATACATACATCGATTTTTGAGGGTTGAGAATAAATTTTGCTGAACGTGTTCAAGTTGATATTTCACACAAGTGTAAGCGTACTAGTAAGAACGCCATTAACATAATCGCATATGTCATAAGCATGTATGTATATACTATATACTTCGAACAATTATTTAGGGTTGTGTAACTGCAGCTAGTAGATATTTGCAAACGCATAGTTAGTAAGAGTAAGTATTGCATATGTAGAAATTGATTTTATATGACAACGTCTATTTGGCTTTCCGATTGGTATCAAAGTGGTAAGGCCATGATTCACACTATCGACGTTGTCTGAAAAATCACTTCGTTGCGTATAGGGTACATACCACTTTTGTAGCAAAAAAGATAAAGAACCAAGGCTCTCCTCCGACAGTCGGGTCTAAGTAGCCTACATGCAGGTTCATTTTTATCCAGCCAAGGACTGTCAACTCGGCATCATTCCTTGAAATTACTTCATTAATGGGTCTTGCCGCTACTACAATAACTTCCTCAGCCAACTATTAGTAACACTATGTTATACCGAAATTAGTTACCTTAGCTGATATGTGATGAGCTCTGGACGTTTCATGTATAAAAATAACGCTTAGGATACGACTAAAAGTCATCTTCAGAACTTTAGAAAACCAATATGTATATGTAGGTCCTAACAAAGCATATGCAACGATATTGGCCAAGCGCTCACCAGTTATCTAGTGGTAGAACATAAGAGCATACGGGAGCATCGGCCCTTCCCATTCTACCGATAACGGTTGTTTGCTAGCTCATCAGCTGTACAATTTCCTGCGATTCCGCTGTGGAATGGTACCCGTACCAGTCTTATCACAACGACACTGTATGCTATTCATAGTGAGGTTAGACACTCTTTGACCAACCATGAAGGCACTACTAATAGGTTAAAGGTTAGTATCACCGCCCTGCTATATGAGTGGATGGTCACTTCTCTGAAAGAGGCTCCTCTCCTGAGCAGTAATTTTACTGTAAACTCGACTAGGAAAACACTGCAACAATTTGAAAGTCTGAAGCTCTAGTTGATAGAGAGCTCCTGACAGAAAACCCCTCTACCAACCTTCCCCCAAGCTTTGACTCATCTGTAAAGAAGCTCACTGCCTCTCTCCGCCAACGGCATCTTTTCACCCACAACTCCCTTGCCTGTATATGGGCAGAGAAGGAGCCGCCAAAATTCAGTTTGGAACTTCATGTGCTCTGGTATGTAATCAAAGTGTGTGAGGATTTCCGAGTGTTTAGGCACTTGTTCTTTTAGGAATCCAAGTTTTCTGATTCTGATAGCAACTTTTGCAGCCGTACATCTTACGTTGATGTCTACGGGTAATATGTACAAAGATGATGATGTGTGATCTTTCCCAGAGTTCTCCACGACGTAAAAACTCTATAAAACGTAATGGGCTTGCTTATGGTGTCGTAGAGCCAGAGGACCTTTTTCGGTGATAAAAAAATTTTGAGGTATTCAAACTTTGTATTTGTTTCACTTTTTTTGACAAGAGAGTAGAAAAGAGAGTAGAATTCAAACTTAGCGAGCTGATAACTGACGAATTGAACGTGACTTATATTAGAGAGTAGAGAATATCATTGGTTATAGTCATGCTGTTTTATATATAATCCTCTAATGAACTCTCCTAATATTAAAATTTCGAACTAATTTTAGACTTCTAGAGGTTCGTCTGGTAGGCTAACGGGGCACGCTAATATTAAAATTTCGAACTAATTTTAGACTTCTAGAGGTTCGTCTGGTAAGCTAACGGGGCACGCTCAGATCAGTTTTGATGCTGTCTACGTAGATATTAACACTGGCTAGATCCACGGTTTTAGCAAAGAACTCTACATGAAATATACTGCAATGGTACGGCGGCTTTAAAGACCTAACTCTGAACAGTATATCCCCGCACCAATTCCTTCCTCCATTTTAAAGTGCTGTCGCACAAGCAAGCACCAAATTCAATGAAGATTAAGAGTTGATGATAACCGAGCTAGGTTAATAATTTATCATGGTCTGAGAAATAAAAGAAATTCTAAGCTAAAATTTTTCATATTTTCAAATGAGGTTAGTGGGTAAGCAAGTTTAACCGATTGAAGCAGCAGATTGTTTAAGGTTCAAAAGAAACTTGCTGCTAGTATTAAAATATATAAATATATGTTCTCATATATGTATAAATATTTTTATATATGAGCTTACTCTTCTTACTCCTTTCTTCCTCTTTCCTCCTTCTTACTGTCATTAAATTCTAATTTTTGCATAATTGATGAGCTATGCACTCTTTCTAATAATAATCTACTTATAGTATACCATAGCATACCATATATATGTGCACTAATTTCTCGTAACCATCATCATCATAGCTTCTGCTGCCTCTTTTCTTGGACTCCTGCATTTCACTAGCCTTCCATCTACTTGCTATTAGCATGACTCCTTTTCATTTTTGCTTTACTTGCAGTTTTGCATATTCTTTATGTGCCTTTTGTTTGCAAACAAATTTTCGCTTTCACGCTAAGCATACTTTTCAGCGCGTAGTGCAAAATCGTGCCACGCAAATAAAAGCACATAAATCTAAGTATTTTTGAGTAAGTTATTAATTTTTGTTTAATTAACTTACGGCGCGTGATTTTCCACGTAATTGAGGTGAGAAGTAAAGTAAAGAAAAAGATATATTTTTTTGTTATTAAAGAGCCACTTAAAAGTTGCTAATGAGTGTTACGAGATTTAAAGTAAGTTCAGATGTAACTTGCAAATTTTGAATGTAGTAGTGTTCCATATGGTATTGTTCACAAAAAGTAGCTTTGTCTGCTGTCTTTTGGAAAGTTTTTAAGTCTAAAATGGAAGGAAAAATGATTGAAGAAATGTAGTATACCTTTAGGAGCAAAATATCAATATTTTGAGATTTGTATAAGTAAATTAAGACTTTTGAAAATAACCCAAAATTTTCATACTTTTAGGCTGATTGCAGATATTTTTGGAAAGTTTTTAAGTATAAAACAATAGACCAATTAAAGAATAAAGAAGAAAAATTTTAGTATACCTTTAGGCACAAAATACTCAAAATGTGCAATTTTTTAAGCTAATTATTTAATTTTTTTTAAACTAGAATTTGTTTTGTGAAAAATTTCGCTATAAATTGCACACAGATTTTTTTTTTTTAATTTTTCTGTGTGTAAAAATTATAATTTATTAGCAAATTTAACTCGCAAAACGTGACAATTCAAAATTTCCCAGATTTTAAATACCAAGTTACGTCAAACCAAGCAAAAGTACAACCAAAAAAAAAAAACAATATATACACAAACTTAATTTAAACAATGAATAGGAAAAATAACCAAAATAAATTAGAAAAGTGTTAAACGATAAACGCGCTGGGAGCGTGTCCGCAGCTTACGAAACACGGGCGCAAGCTTGCAGTTGACAGCTCTGCGTCGCGTTGACATTTAACCAACATATCTGCCCTCACCACTACAAAAACTAAAATAAAAATAATAAAAAACGAAACAAAATAAAACAATAACAATAAAAAACCATTGCGCATTGTTGCTGTTGCAGCAACAGCAAAATGCATTCGGCGCCCACTACACCCAGCATGCCTTCCGCCACGTCCAGCCGTGGCCATCACAGCACAATTGGCCTTTTAAGCAGCCTTATGCGTCGCTTATTAAAACTTTTGATTAGCTGCCTTCTCATGCCGGCCATGCAACAACACATCCACGTTAATTGGTCTCCAATGTCAACATCTCCAACGTTCAGCATACTTGCGCATGCCTCCACCATCTCGCTTTCGCTTTCGTTGTCTGCCGCGAACTCAACCAACGTTGCTGGCGTAACGGCGCCCACTGCTAAGCTGGACGTTGGCATGACTGCTGTGGCGGCAGCCGCTTTATCCGGTTTGGGTGCACGCGCTCCAGCCTCCTGGTCGGTGGCTGCCTCACATATGCGTCTGACGCAGCGCAATAATCATGCTAATATCTCCGAACTGTTGGATAATTTATTACGTGGCTACGATAATAGCATACGACCAGGATTTGGCGGTAAGTGGGTACACTCTTACATTTATAATTATGCAAAGAACATTTTTTTACTTGGAATGTTCCAAATTATCCTGTTTGTAGTTTATCATAATTAGTGTTCAATATTTGTTTTATTTCCACAAGAACTGGGTTCTTTTCATCCAAAAAAAAAAGGCGAAAATTTATATTTTATTAGGATTTGTTTTCTTGTCTCGAGTCATGGCTTTCAGACAGTACTTTTAGTTTCTTGTAATGAAGAGCAGCGTTCTCACGTAACTTTAACTCTTACGTTAGTTCTTATGCGACTTATATGAGTGATAAAAAAAAAATGTTCTTTCTGATTCTCATAACCACAATGAACGCGCATTTTAATTCGTCAGGGCACAATATATGTATGTCCCACAGGACATATAGCTGTTCTTTCGTTTTTTGCAAATTTAAACAGTACATGTGCAACCGATTTGTAATCCATCTAAGCTCTACTACCTCGTGAACTTTGAGCTTGCTGAAGTTTAGCTTTTAGTTCAGGACGGAGCATAGAGAAGCGTTAGTAAAAATGTTTTTATATAATATTTCTGATTGTGACAGCTATGTAGCAATTCCTTGGGGTTTTTACAATAGTAACCAGAACGCAGATGGATTTTAAACTGTCCAAGTATTTTAAACTTGTGAGATTCGAGCTCTCCAAACTTTCGCTCTCAGTATAGGTCTGACGAGACGTTAGAAACTTTAAGTAAAATTTTACTTCTAATTTTCATTATTACGTATATATACGTAACCAGACCGGACCCGAATTTTCATTCAGTCAAGGACTGTTTTCGTCTTCTTCTTTATTGTCGTAGACACTGCGTACGATGTTATAGGCAAGTTTTCAACAGCGCGTCAGTCATTCTTTTTATCGCTGTTTGGCGCCAATTGAAGATACCAAGTGTAGGCAGGTCTTCTTCTCCATCCAGTCTCTTAAGCGGAGTGGAAGTCTTCCTCTTCCTCTCCTTCCTCCGGCGGTACTGCGCGTAACCGCTAACTTTTAAATCACTGAACTATGTCAATATCCTAGTATATCTCGTATAGCTCATCGTTCCAACTACTACGGTATTCGCGGTTGCTAACCGTAATCTTCCGGAGAGGCTTTTACTCGAAAACTCGTTACGACGACTCATCAGATGTTGTCATCGTCCATGCTTCTGCACCATATAACATTAAGTGGATGATGAGTTACTTGTTGAATTTGAGCTTTGTGTTGGCAAGAGTTATTCTAAATTAGATTTCGATGCTGACATTATTGTTAGCATTAATACTGGCTCCATGATAGACGGAATTATATACGACTTCGAAGTTCTAACTGTCAACAGCAACGTGGGAGCTAAGTCGCGAATGCGACGATTGATTAATTGGCACTTTTGTCAAGAATAAACTACTCTGGACGTGGTTTTAGAGACGGTTAATATTATAATATATTATTCCAAAGTTCTGTAGACCATAAAAACCTCCTAAGAAAGAACTTATAAAATAGCATTGTTTACGCTGAAGAGCATACTTTAGGAAAAGAAGAAGAAGAAAACCATTCTGGGCTTATCGAAGAGCGCTAAGTCTACTATAATTGGCAGAATTTTTTCTAATTTAATATAAAGCCCTAGGGCTGTCAGATAATCGCAATCTTATTGCTATTCCTCTATTAATTTTTTCTTCTTTTGAGGCCTAATTTGACATTAACAACTCAATTGTTCCAACAAAAAATTCTACATTATTATCCAAATATAGCGCATTCTATAAATAAACATGCCGGAAATGATTATTACCACAATGACGGCAAGTACGGTTGCTTTCAAGTTAATCAAATAAAGTGCTGCGACAAATGACTATTTTCATATTCAACTTCCAATACGCTTAAAAGCGCTGGAAACATGAAAGTAAATAAAGCAATGACGCTAGCAAGAACAACTCAATCAAAAATGAACGGCGCTGCTGATTAAATAGACGCCATTGGGGCTAAATGCAGGCGCTAATTCACACTAACACGCCAGTAATTTGCATGTAATTTGTCAACAGTGAGCTGCCGTTCTAAGCAGAAGACATCTCAAAGGCCACCATATGCTCTCCAAATTGCAGTGTGGAAAATTTCACAAATATACAAACATAAGGCGCTAAATACCCAAAATGGCTCTAAATGGCAATTGGAGACTTTTTGGCCTCCACTCGTTAGATTGTCCGCTTCCATTCTGGCGCGTCGCCACATCCGCTTAAACTTCACGCATAAATTTTCAAAAATCTAAAGCGCCAACGCGCGAAAACGACACATTTCCGACAATTTCGAAAACTGGCATTAATGAAATTGTCAACAAAGGCAATCATATGCAGCGCGCCGTTATACTTCAAATGGTGGCATGCAAATTAGTTGGAAGCATGTGGCAAACAAGCGCTGCAAGGAAGCCAGACAAATCAATTTTGCGGCGTTAACACGAAGGAGGGTTGCAACTAAGCGCACGTAAGCGTTGATACGCGTAATTCCGAAGCCAGAATGTATTGTAAGATATGCTCAGGGTGACAAGCTGTGTATGAAAGCGCGCGTCGAGTCTTCAGTTGAACTCGTGATCAGGCAATCACTTGGTCTTCCTGTTGTGTAAAATGCGTCAGCTTCAGTTATGTACTCAAGGTGTTAAAACGCGGAAATTAGTCGACAGCCAAAACCGCTCGTCATGAATGTAGCAACAAAATGTTGCAGGAAGCTGTCAATTTGCAATTTTCGTTTGAAATTGCAGTTTTTGCTGCTATTTAGAGGAAATAAAATTTACTTGCTTATTTTATCAGAAAAAAAAACCCATTGAAACTGCAAAGCAGTTAGAGGTAAAGAAGGATGGAAAAATGTAAATTGTAGCTGGTGTCAAATAAGCTTGTGCTTGCAAATTCACTTTGACCGATTTTGTAAGGACTCTCTTTGATTGTAACACCAGAAAAATGCAAAAAGGGCTGATGGATAGCTCACTAGCTTAATAATAACATAATTGAAACATGTAACATGTCATTGACGAGAGAAAACCAACAGGAATCGTATATACTATATGTATATATCAAAGAAGGAGCATTTGAGACCATACTCCAGTTATTTTCACTATCCATGAAATATACGCAAAGGGGACTTAGGTGCCAAAAAATCTTAGTTGATTCGGATGGAAGATGAGATGCTTTTTCACGTGATAGAATCCAAAAAGTCATAAACTAATTTTCGCACGTTAGCTCCCTTTTCGTAGACCAGGTCACATATAAGGATATTAACAAACAATGGCGTGTATAAATTTAAGAGCCACTTCATAAAAGAAATCACTGATTTATCAAACAGCCTACATATCAAACACAGCTGCCATACAAATGTTGTGTTTAAGAGTATCCTTAAATATTTCTGTTACCTGTATCTTCAAAGATGAGAGTATATGTGCATGCAAACATGTTCCAACAATTTCTGTACAACATTTGTAAATAATTTCATTTACAAACTTGTATTTGAGTATTTTTTACACATAGCTATGCTTGATTTAGCATTTCCATACACGCTTTGCATTTTAGTTACTCTTGTGCATTGCCTTTGTGGTTGACAGTGTTAGAGCTTGCCACATAATCTCATACACTTCACAGCTTGCAGTTGCTTGAAGGTTTAAAATGAGACACGCTGCCATTGGCAAAAGAGCGAACTGATTTTTCTAGGTGGATCGAAACAATTTGAAATGTATCTATCTTCTATGCATAGAAATTTCGGCAGCAGAAATTATTCAACAGCTGGACTAAAATTGAAAGGTCTTATTTATGTTATAACCTTTGTAAACTGGCTGAATTGGCACGAATCGTAATTAGCCGCAGATATGGTTATTTTTCACATTAAATTGATAGTTATATTTGGCATGGTTAAAATAGTTCTATTTGAAGGTAATCTCTCTCTCTCTCATCTCTCTCATATAAACACTCTTCCATATTTGTAAAGAGTTGAGGTAGTCGTTTTACAAAAGCTTCTAATGCCGTAAAACAACCCGACCGATAACTTCTATAATACTAGATATAGATTGCTAAAATCATCTATTGAATATTTGTTCTAGGAATAGATTTCTTAGTCCAGCTCTTAAGTTAGTTGTGATGCCTTTGATTATATAAGATTGTGAATAGGTTTTTAAAGGGTATACATAGATTAGTTTAGGACAGTTTGATAGGCTCGTGAGCCACACTTACGAACCAGTTTTCGTAGTAAGCGATAACAGATGGAGTGCTGTTACGTAGTTCTCCAGCATTCCAGCGCTTTACGTGAATTTCAATAGATTCTGCGGTTTCACTATCGATTCCAGTGTTTCATACCGCTGAACTAGCAATATTTGAAGCGATCTCTTATTGGTGTGGGATACAGACAATGCTCCATTGTGTCGGTGGTGCCATGCTCATGACATTGCCTGTAGTCATATCAATGTATATCCCAACCAACTCATTCCTTCGTTTTCGAGCTATCTTTATAAATAGTAAATACATACGCACGGCTCATTTTCCCTATATATTTGATACATACATTTTTCTTTAGCTCGTCTTTATTTAATGTACTTGGTATCTATGCTCTTACATAAAATTTAAAAAAATTATAATTTATTGCATTTTTAGGTCCACCCGCTACAATCGAGGTTGATATTATGGTACGGAGTATGGGGCCCATTTCCGAAGTAGATATGGTAAGGCCACTTCACATTAATCACAAACAGACTTTACTTTCAAATATTTACATTTATTCTTTATTTAAAGATAAAGATTTTCTTGGCATTTCAAAGCATATTTATCATGAGAAATCAAAAGTCTGTAAAAAATAGACCGCACAACAACTTAACTACTATAAAAAAACGCCGTTAAACTCACGCGTAAACACTTTATCGATCATAATTACTTTTCGCGAAAGCAAAAAGCCCAACAAATTTATTTATTTGCAGCCAAAYAAATCAAAACCAATTAAAGTCGCTCAGTCAAAACAGCAACAAATTGGGGGCGTCAAACAGCGCTTAAGCAACCAACCGTTATGCTGCTGACTGACTTACTTCAATTTAGTATTTGTTGATTGAGCAACCGCAAGCAACACGCTCTACTAATAACTACATAAACACGTATAAACCCATATACATACACTCATACAATCATTTTACGTTATTTAATCAACGCGACGCTTTTTGATTTGATTGCTTAACACCTCGCAAGTGGATTTCCTCTGTGGCAAATTTCTATTGCCTCAAAGTAAATATTTTCAATTTTTCTCTTCATTTCATTGCAGACTTATTCGATGGACTGTTATTTCCGTCAATCATGGGTGGATAAGCGTTTAGCCTTCAAAGGCGCTCAGGACACATTGGCGTTGAGTGTTTCGATGTTGGCGCGCATCTGGAAACCCGATACATATTTTTATAATGGCAAACAGAGTTATCTGCATACCATAACGACACCGAATAAGTTTGTGCGCATTTATCAGAATGGCAGAGTGTTGTATTCGAGCAGGTGAGTGGTAAAAATTATACATCGTACACTGTAAGCAAACTAACGATAAATATACCAGTTAGTTACCCAAATGGGCTACCAGTTATTTCGGTTAATGTTTCTATCAAATTCTAAAAGTCGAATTGATAAATATAAACATGTATGCACACATCGTAACTTCGACGTTTTTTTAAACTTTCTTCACCGGCCGTACATTATATTTACATAATACTGGTATAACCATCCCAGAAAAAACATTTACTAAGACAAATCGCAAAAGAAAGTCCATCCAGTTCGGCCGGTATTCGCAACTACAACCTTGATTAGGTCTTTGATTACGGGGCAATAACTCTAAAGTCACGGAGCCAAATCTGGTAAATACAGTAGCTGAGCGGAGACTCTCGTTTCGTGTACGATCAAAAAGTCACTAACAGTCATGCTCGAATATGGTGCATTATCATGATGAAAATCCCTAAACTTTCTGCTCAGAAATTCAGTCGTTTACAATAAATTGCTTAACGTAGAGTCCTTAAAACCGTCAATATGAATGTACAATAAACGAGATCATAGAAATCAATGAATATTTTTAGAACCACCTTTATTTTGGACCGAACTTGATGAGATTTTTTGGCTTAAACATCATTTTTGGAGCTCTATTTGCTAGATTGCCGAACAGTTTCGATATTCATAAACCCACGCCTCGGCGATACCAGTGATAATGTGTATGATGAATATATGGTCCTCAGCTACAATGCATTTTGTTTGCGACCTCCACTCGGCGCTATTTTTGGAAAAATTATGGTCTATTGGTATGTTTCATACCTAGAACATTTACCAAAATATGTTGAGAGAATCCATAAGAGATTTAGATGTTCTCTGCTATCTCTCTGTTATAAACACAACGCTTTTTAATCACTGTTTCTTTGACTTTTCCCATGTTATGGTCATTAACAGAGATTGATATATAATCCGCATGAAGTTTTTGATGATTTATAAAAACGGGTCGTCGATCGAAGAGCTTAGACTTATGTATGTATATCACTCAGTCAACGAATGTAAGTCAATTTTAGAAAAAAATAAGTGGCTAGCCAATTCTCCTTTTTCATTTAATTTCATTTCACAAAAAATTCAAAATTTTCTGCTTTCTTTCAGATTAACAATCAAAGCTGGCTGCCCAATGAACTTGGAAGACTTCCCCATGGATATACAAAAGTGTCCACTAAAGTTTGGCTCATGTAAGTGAAATGAAAACTGCCAAAAACTTATAAGCAACTGCATAAGTTGTATAACAAGTCACACAAGTTGTAAAGTAAATGCAATTGAGGCGACAAACATACCACCATAATAAAACTGGGTATGAATTTAGGCTGATATGGCTTGTATGAAATCTTGTTTAATTTTCTTAAACTCATAGAGCGTAATCTTTTCAGCTGAGCAATGCTTACGGCTGCTAAGCACATTATGTGCTTATGTATGTTATGAATTTGTGTGTATTGACCTTGGCAACACAAAGTCGCAAAGATGCTTATGTGAGTTTGAGGGAAGTTTGATAGAACAGTGACTTTTTAATTGAAACGACCACCATAATTTCATAAAATGTTAAAGTGTATTTATGTCAAAAACAATTTGCCTTGAATTTAGTTAGCTATAGACCAGCCAGAATATCGTATTTCGGATAGTCTTTTTATACCTCCTAAACAGTATTTCCATAAAAGCGTTCTACAAATAGGTTCTTTGTATCAATTAAAGATTAGTTATCTTTCAACAACGCTATATCCTGTATGTCAAAGTACCATCTTTTATATATGTTGAACTTTAGTTACCTCTCGAAACTGGAGTACCCCCCGCACGATTGCCTTCTAAGCCTGGATACTATTTGGAGTTAAGCTGCTGCTTATGCATATTCGTGTCTCATGTGGTTCTTTGCCTGGCACATCCATTTTATATCCCTTATATAGTAAAAATATCCAAATAGACTGTTTATGTCAATAATATTGTAATGGTGAAAAAAATTTGTTTAGACTTTACTGCTAGTGTATGTCAAAATGCCATCCGTTGTATATCAAGAACCTGAATTACCTCTTAAAACTGGAGTACCCCTCGTAAGATTGCGTTCTGATTCGAAACGCTGTTTTTGTTTAAGTCCCTACTTATGCATATACGTGAAAAACAAGTTTCTGTTGCCATTTCTACAACTGGGTGTCATTCTTAGTATAATAGAATGTAAATAACCTCTCGAAACTGGAGTATCCCTCGCATAATTGCGTTCTAATTATGGATATTGTTTTGAGTAAGCTTCTGCTTATGCATACGCATGTCCCAAGTGATTCTATGCAAGCCACATGCGTTTTATATCCATAACATATAAAAAAATTTATTCAAATAGACTGTTTAAATCAATGAAATCTTAAAAGCAAAAAAAAAAAAATTTGTGTAGTCTTTACTGCTGCTGGGTGTCTAAGTGCTAGCCTTTGTTTACGAAGAACTTGAGTTACCTCTTAAAACTGGTGTACCACTCGTACGATTACGTTCTTTTTCTGGATGCTGTTTTGACTTAAGTCGCTACTTATACATATGCGCAAATTATATGGATATAACCACGGCTTTGCGCGCGGCATCCATTTTAGTAATTTGTCAACATATACTTAATAACGAAAAGTCTTTCAAATAGCCCATTTTCTGGCTTACTAAAAAGTTTTGTGTAGTTCCTGCATCTGGTTGTCATAGTGCCAACCTTAGTATAATAGAATGTGAAAATCCTCTCGAAACTTGAGTACTCCTCCAACGATTGCGTTCCTGTTCTGGATACAACTTTGAATTCAGCACCTACTTATGCATATGCGTGTCCTATATGACTAACCAGCTCTAAGCTTAAAGTTAGCACATGTAGATACATTTTCTCTATAAATCTACAAATACAGAGAAAATGTGTTGTGGTCATCATTGAAACCAACACGTATTTCGAAGTTCTTCAGAAACCTTGTACTGACTTATCAAATTGTCCTCGTATATGTGACTTTCTTCTTCTTCATGTATGTATATATATTTATTTTGTATTAGTGCAATCTTACTATAAATGCAATTCAACGAAATGTTTATGCCTTTCCCATACATACCAACCCGACTGTTTATTTATGTTTTCAGTGGACCCCCCACTACAACCACGTATGTATACCTAATTGCCCACATATAAATATATAAACACGTAAGTCTCATATGTGGCCACCCTGAACACTTATCGTTTCGCGCCACTTTGCTGCCGGTTTATATTATTCCTTTCTGCTTTTTCGCCTCAGATTTTTCGCCCGGCCTGCTGCGATTTGTGATATTAAAATGATTTAAATAGCTCTTTTGCTGCGCGCTCGTCCTTATGAATGTCCTTACAGTTAGTGCAACACAAACTGCGCCACAAATGGACAATAAGAAAACGAAAACCAAAAAATGCACGCTTCTACAAGCGCAACTATGGAAACAAGTTAAGCTGTTGTTAGCCGTTTGTAGTTCATTTATTCGCTCATTCGTTTGTGGCGCACAAAGCAAGGCACGCTTACAATCAACAATACACGCACACAAGTACGTATGTTTATATGGCGATGCATATGTATGTGTAAGGAATTGCTTGTTGCACCCCAAGTACATAATCATTATTGTTTGTTGCGCGCTGTTGGCGGTCGCAGAGCTTAGGAGCTTGTGTGCAACGTGGAGCGTGCAGCGGCTTTTCTAATGAATTTGTCTGCCTGCCTGTCCGACATTCAAGCGCGCATTCAAGGCTTTAATTGATTGCATTTTGTGTGGAGAATTTAAGTCGGTTCAAAGAAAATTTTATTTATGTACATATGTAAGTGTGTAAGACAAGAATGAAATATGAGATGCAAAAGGGTACATTACACTTTTTAAGGATTTCGGAAGGAAAAGATTTTCTCTTTAATACAAAATTCCATTGTTAATCAAAATATATAATTTTGGCATATTTCAAAAAATTGGTAAATTCTTCAAAATGTCCGCAATTTTCGAGAGTGTTTCACACATTTACTACCAAAAAACTTGTGCCGTAAGCAACTGGCAGTGAAGAGCTTGAAAAGGGCGTGAATGTATTTAAGAATGCTCTAAATACAACTCTTCACTAAGCATGCCCTTACTCTGCAACTCAAGCACAAAACGAAGCCTATTTGGTGGAACCATGAGTCTGGGTCTTGAAAACGCAGAGTACGGGAATACTTCAACTAGTTCAAGCTAGCAGAAAACGACGACTGGCAGAACTCTTTGGAAGACAGAGATTTTAGCAATGCTACAGATTGCGTTCTGCCTATCCGTATCTTGACTAATTTTCATACTGAAGGCACGTAAAAACCACCCAGTCAAACCCTACTCCAAAGAGTTTAAGCCTTCTTGCTGAAAACGATAAAGAAAATCTTGGCAGCGCACATAAGGGCCACAGTACCTCCTAGAAGGGCAGATCAGTAGAGATTGCACTCCATACACTGGTATTTAATATCGAAAGGGCTCTTGCATATAACGAATATGCCCTTGGAGCATTCCTGGACGTTTCTGGAGCGTTCAACAACGTTTCATTGGCTGCAGGAGAGTTTACATCTAGAACCTTCGTGCATAGCTCTGAGCTCTCTACATGATCCCTCTTTTCAACTGGGAAATAAAGTTCAAAATAAATATAGAAAAAGATGGTTGGCTTAAAGGTATGTTAGCTACGTGCAACACTCTAAACATTTACATCGAAAATGGACGACGGAGTTGGTGCGGGAATATATGCTGTGTAGAGTTAGGCATAAGTTATTACGAAAGTCGCGGATCTGGCCTCTAATGCACCTGCAGGTAATTCCAGAGTCAGCATCTACGTTGATAGCCAAGCAGCAATGGATGCAGTAACCTCCTATCGCATATTAGCCAGAAGTGTCTTACGAAGCAGGGCTGCAGTGAAAAATATTGCCAGAAGCAAGCAACTTCACTTCTGCTGGGTGACAAGCCAAAAAGGCATCGAAGGCACTGAAATAACAATAATGGGAAACTGGTCTATGCGTGGCTCGTGGGCCTGCCACATCAACCTTACCTAACCTATGATACTTTCGAACTTATGGAATCTGCTTAGTGACATATGGTAAACTTCCATAAAAAATTATATTTTTCATTGAACTGATTTACATAATAACCTTAAAATCAACGCAAGCGCCTCTAAAATATAATATCAGCCTAACGTAGAAATTGGCCATGCGACCTAACAAATTATTGATAAGCAAAATGTAAGTGTATTACACCAACAACGTCGAAAATGCTTTAATTTCAATCATTATTTGTCTAATTCGAACATATTTTCCAGTCGTAAATCGATTTCTGCCGTTTCAACGTGCACTTTTGATTTCCATGACGTACGAGGCGTATACGTAACATCATTAAAAATCAATTCACACATTACTCTGAGCAAAATTGTTACAGATGTACATATATGGGTTTTAATGCGTACATATCCGCATAGTAAACCACAATGTGACACAATTTGACAGAACAGCACACATACACACATAATTGTATGCACGCATATGTACATATGTAGTTATATAGAGTGCGGCTGGTAAAAATTTGACAACAGTAAGCAGTAATTTGAAAAAAGCAAACATAATTGTAGGTAGAAATGTGCAAATGTAGATGTAGAATGTGAAGTAGAAGTACTCGGTAACTCTCTAGCAAAATTGTAGTTCAAATCTCATAGGACACAAGTGGCAGAGAAAGAAATATCGAAACCCAAGTATTGGAAGTTTTGATGTAATAAACGATTAATAATTAATAATATATGTATGCTTAAATATATGTTCCAATTGATTTACTGTTTAAAAATTATGCTGAAGAAATATCTCTCTAGCTTGCTATGCAATCAGCGTTAAGAGCTTCGGTACCCATTTTGGTATAACGGTTTCAAATCTTTTCCATCCCTACATAACCAGCGACTACCTATGTATATATATCACGTCTACGTCTGTATGTATGTCTGCGACATGCATATATTATTACGGTTACACAGCTTTGCATAACTGAATTGCGTAGCTTGGGGTGTCGTGGCGTATACGCAACCTCAATACAAAATAAGTAAGTTGCTGTCAAGTGTTTGATTCATTTGCAACTGACTGTTTATTGTTTTGTCGTTTGATTTGTGTTGCCATTTTTGGTGTTACCATGCCTACGCCAGTGAAGAAGAAGATATTTTGTGTATTTCTGGCGTCAGAAAAAAATCAATATGTATGTGTTTACTTACTAAGTGTCTGCGTCCTGTTATTACCGCCGACTACTGACGCATTCTTGTTGTTCTGGGCGTTACTTGTTGTCATTTTCATATTTATATACATATGGCACATATGTAAATTTTGATGAACCAAATACTCCGATATTCAAATGTGACTTCGAAGTGTCGGAAAATTGATGCCGAGATCATTAAGTTTGCATGGCGTAATTGCAAAAGTCACACTCATAAAACGAAATTGTTGCACAGTGAATGAACTAATAAGCGTTTTATATGTTTCTATTGAAAAATACTAGTTTACTTCTTTATTGATAAATATTTATATAAATAATTAGAAAAAATTGGTTTTGGTAATAATTCCAGTTCGGTTATCAACTCATACAACTACGCTTTCCCCTGGATCTCTCAATAGCAGCCATTTTCTATGATTCTTCTTAAGCTAACTTTCGAAACTTACACCAGGCCTAGGTGTAATGTCGTTTTGTTTCTGGATACTATTATACATACAGCTTTTACAACGTGTCCCATATGAAGCTAACTACTACTTTGCAAGCCACATTCACTTTACCCATTTTACATCCATTTCCTAGTATCCAAAGGTCCCCGAAAGAAAATAGCATAACATTAGACAATGTCGATGATTTCTTATCACCAAGACGTTTTAGTATTCACTCCTGCAAACTGTCTATCGAAATACTACGGTTTACATACGGAGAACTTGAGTTACCTATCGAAACTAGAGTTCACCTCGTGCGATTGCATTCTTATTCCAGATACTGTTTTCGGTTGTGCTTTTACTTATGCCACCGCGTGTTCGATATGAGTCTAACCAATCCGGATTAATTTTAGTTATTTTACTCGTACATCCCATACTTAATAACCACAACTCGTCGCAAGAAGCATTTTCTGGTATTCCGTTAGTATGTATTCGCTCGAAAAATTGAGACGTTTTCTATTACTCAGAGAATTTGAACGACTCGAAGTTCAGTATGAAGCCAAATTCTTTTTAAGCATTAAAAGGCTATAGAGTTTGATTCCTTGGTCTATTCAAACGTCATTGGTTTGCGTAAAGGAATTGTTTCTATTGTATTCATTCCAGATAATTTTCTTTCCCAAAAGTTTGGAGGAGGCACTTAATGTTAAGTAGACCAAACAATTTCTATTTTTAATAGTTATGTTGCAAAAAATGGGAACTTTTTTTTACTAATTGTTCGACAAAAGTTATTGATAAAAATCACGCGAGCATTTTTGTTATAGAAAAAAAATGTTGCGAAAAAAAATCTTTAAAATCCTCTGCATTTTTTTAATAGTATATACTTGAAATAATTAACTAAAAAATAATTTGAATTTTGAAGCCTATTTCCATAAATTAAGACAAAGCTTTTTAACTTAAACTTGTATCGCTGAAAGATGTTCTAATAATCAGCCCAATTTGTGCAGTGTAGGATATAGAGAGTTCTAACGTTCACTACTAGGCTCCAGACTGACTTTTCAAACTTAACATGTGTATGTCCCATTTTTCTCTTCAGAAAAAAAGTTTAATTCCTTCATTTTATTAATTACAAGTAAACCAAACTGTATTAAATCGCTTAATATAATACCCAATAGTTGAACCAATGTGGTGACTTAGAATTTTGCTTTTTTCCAAATCGAAAGAATAAATATTTACGTCAGCTTTTCACACCCCCGAAAACTTGACAACTTAATTCGATACTTGCGCTATTGTCAACATCTATAGCTCACCATCATTTGTAATGACACAGTGATGTCTAGTCGTTTATTTATATTGATATTTGCTGTTAACTTCTTTCTTGTAACAACTTTCTCATTTTGATGTTGCAAGTAAAAAATTGAAGCAGTAGAAAAATATATAAAAGACTCTACAAAATAATTACAACACACCAAACATACATACGCGTACCATAAAATCTAACGCACATGCATATTCTGGAATTGTTATTCTCCCCTTCGCCTATTGCTCCTTCTTATTCCATTACTTCTTCTCCTTCTTAACTCATTTGTTTTGTAAACGAATTGTTGCAATTGCCAAGCATCTCCACCAGTTTCCATTAAGTTGCTTGAACCAATCAATTTTGTGTTGTCTGCCACTTGAATTGTGTCAACATGCAAACACATTATCTAACTGTGCCAATAACACATACACTATAACAAAACCACACACATACTGACATACATTTGTTGATGGCAGTAATGTGTTAAAGAAATGTCAGAGATTTGGGCGTACAATAATGAATAGAGGAGCATTAATGCGATCACCTGGATTTGCAACGTAAGCATACATTCGTATGTATATGTATGTGTACAAACAACCATAACATTCACATAAATGTTTGGTGTGATTTTTGGTCTGGTGGAATCATTGGTTCGTACTTCTTTCGAAATGAAGCTGATGACACGGTTAATGTCAATAGATTTTAAATTCCTCCTCCGACTTAAACTTCTGCCCGCCGTGTGAATTTGCAAAGTTTAGGAGAAAATAAACTTCACTGAATCAAATTTAGAAAATGCTTAGAAACTCGTATCCTTATCCGGTGTAGTGTCATAGAATGATAGCACTTTTTTCCTGGCCAAATCGAACAATTTCGCGTCGTATAATAATAAAATCTTGTGACCGTTTGGCCTTTTTCATGTAGTCGGTTGATCTCCAGCAAATCCCAGTAAACGGTGATTATATTTTTCCCCGCCAATAGAACCATCGCCTTGTCATTAGAAGTCCACTATTTCGACAGTTTCTTGGTCTCTGATGTGTTCCAGTGGTTCCAGTTTCGCCAATGGGCACGAAACGATGCATAATCTTATTCCAGTTATGAAAACTAGCTCTAAAGTGGTTTCATGTTTCCTTTCTGATCCTTTTTCCCATATGTATACCATACAAAATTTCACCCCCGCGATCTTTCGACTTGCTGCCTGAGCTAGATAGGTAGGTAGGTCTAACGACGCACTTAGATCTTTAGGAGATCCATTGTAAAAACACCGGGACTAAAATCCCCTCACTTTATTGACACCTCTCTGAAAAACCCGTACTTTTTATGAACTTAATTAGTATTAAAAGCTTTATCCGTGCCTAGGAGGTTCATTTTATAGTCTCCTTTTCTTCCACCTCCAGATAGGATCCATGATATTCCTAGTCTGCGGGCATGTTGGCCAATTTGACAGTTATCTGTTGGCGCTCCTTCCAAAGACGTTGTGTCATTCCGAAGGCACATCAACTCCCTCTTTTCCGGAGTCTAATTGAACGCTGGTGCCCACTTTGGCTATTTCATCTGCTTCAAAGTTACGAGGAATATCACTATATCTTGCAATCTATTACACGTTTATCGTGAAATGAGATGTTAGCTTTACTAAGCGATCAAGGATTTTCACTGTAGTAACTTCTAAGTAGCTTAGCAATATGTGTATATAAATATATTTCTTGTTGCGAGCTCACTTCTTTTCAGAACAAGAAATTTATCTTAAATTGCTGTGATCTACACTTTGAAGATATGGCTGTGTTCTGGTAGACAGAAGACGATTATTTTATCTAACTTTGCAGAAAGGCAGCACCTATCATTCGATTATCTACTTTAGGCCCATTCATGTAGCTGCTTATCTCTGTGCCCCTGTTCACCTCGCCTTTTTCCATTCTTCTCAGGAAAGAAAGGCAATATTGGGTTCCCTTAATGTAGTATTGTGGTAATAGGGAGTATTCCTAATGGACTTAGAATTTTCAACAAAGAGCCCAATTTTTAACTCATAGATAATCAGATCAATAAAAACTGCAATAGCGCATTTTAATATCGTACTTACTCACCTCACTCAACCACTGCGTTCATTTAAACCATTATTAACACTTTGCTAACGGTAAACTTGTTGACACCCACAAATAATTCAATTTTCTAACACTTTATATTAACAATAAAACACTCAACCTTCCTCTGCTCCTCATTACAGTTGGCTATACGACAGCGGACGTTGTCTATCGCTGGAATCGCGAGCGCCCAGCTGTTGCCATCGCCGAGGATATGAAGTTGTCACAATTCGATTTGGTCGATTGTCCGGCGGGCAATCTCACCGATGTGATCTACAAAGCAGCCGCGCCACATGATGCCACACACAACAGCCACAAACCAGGCAATGCTAACAGAAACAGCAATAATTACTACAACAAAAATGCAGGCAGCGATTACAATCCGAATCGCAAGAGTCAGAAGTATGGCGGTAAATCGATGACTACATTTGCGGGACCGGGCGCGAAGAATCAGCATGTACGCGGTACGGGATTGCAGTTGGACAAAGGTGCCTTTGGAGGTGGTAGTGGTGGTGTGGGTGTTGGTGTTGGTGCGGGCCGTGGTGGTTTGGGGATCGCCAGTGGCGGTGGTGGTGTTGATGTTTTTGGTGGTATTAGTGTGGATGCGCCGGGTTCAGTGCGTTTCGAGTCGAGTCGGGCGTGTAAGTAATTTATTTTCTCTTTTATTTGGCTTTGGGGTGATTTTATTTGCAGTTTGTTTTTTGTTTCTCTTTTTTGGTTTATGTATTGTAATTAATGATTGCTCATATGTCATGTAGGTCAACTAGTGAATGCGTCGAAATGATCTAGTCAGAGTATTAGTGATAATAACTCATACAGAACGCATTGAACCACACTGCAGTGATTAATTTGCACCAACAACAATTGATTAGTAGCAAACCATATGATAAATTACCAGCAGCGCACAACACTACTTTACAATTGTGGTAACTTTTCACGAAATGCTCCTCTCTCTCTTAATTTTTTCCTCTTCAGCCGAGTACTCAATGCTTATGGTGAATTTCCACCTCCAACGTCACATGGGCAATTTTCTCATACAAGTTTATGGCCCCTGCTGTCTACTCGTCGTACTCTCTTGGGTCTCATTTTGGCTTAATCGTGAGGCCACCGCGGATCGTGTCTCGCTGGGCATAACTACTGTGTTGACAATGACATTTCTCGGCTTGGAAGCACGCACCGATCTGCCGAAGGTTCCCTACTTGACTGCTTTGGATTTCTTCGTGTTTCTTTCGTTCGCCTTTATTTTCGCCACCATACTACAGTTCGCTGTCGTGCATTACTTCACGAAATATGGTTCCGGTGAATGTTATTTCATCATCGAAGAGATGGACTCAGATACTGAATCAGAAGCGGACGCRCGCACGCTGAAGAGCGAATTTAATGTTAGCACCGAGTCGAAGTTATACGAGGTGATACCATTGTCGATGTGTTCGATACCGATACATAGCACGGGCAAGGGTTCAACGTCGGCGAGCAGCAGCGGTATTGGTGTGCGTGCACGTCGCAATTCGGGCACTAAGCGCCGTATACTAGGAGGTGGTGGTAGAGGTGAAAGCGGTACTGGTAGTGGCCGCTACTATTTGAATTGTTTCACTTGGTCGTGCTTTCGTCGGCGGAAACGTGGTCGCGTTGGCTTTGATATGTCGGATGAGGATGATGAAGAAGCGCATTTGCGTGCCGGTGAAGGTAAGGAAGGAAGCTAAGTGGCAATAGTACATTTTAATATTTTCATTTTCTTCTTTGAAAGGTATAATAAATTTATTTGAGAAGGTCATTGCCAATATTTTTTTTTTTAATATTGGTTTTAATTACCCTACCGAGATTTCAGGGTATCGTTGCTATTAAGAAGCCGAAAACCTACTACCTTAAGCTACTTATGAAAACGCTTGAAGTTCATCTCAAATCTTACTTCATTATTTCGAAATGTGAGGATTGTGAACAAATATTCCGAGGTGGTCCGTTTAGAAAAATTGTCGATTTATTCCTCTTGATACAGCCTTACTCACTTTTCTTAACATGCCTGAAAAGGATGTAGCTCTGTAAAGTAGGCCTCCGTGGCGAAGATAATCCTTTCATTCGACTTAAATTTCTATCCGGTGGTTATTTCAAGTTCGAACCAAATATGGAATAGAGTGTACGAAGCAACTGAAGCACTATTATGCACCCCAAAAACTGATGACTATCACATTATCGGACGATATAACAGGCTACGACTTCTTTGGAGCAATTTCGTTGTTTTAACTCTTTGTTGCTCTCGGGTGTGTGCCAATAGTCCCATGTTCCGTCGACAGGTTCAAACCTAGCTGCTAAGCAGCTCATCCAATCGGCAGCCATTCTTCAGGCAACCGATTCAAAATACATCTTGTGTATCCCAGAAGATGGCGACCATCATATTTCCGTTATTATAACAGACTTCGCCCGAATCCAGGCCTATCTGCTCTAGGACTGCGCTTTAACAACGTCAAACCTGACTATTAAGTGGCCTTGTCTAATTGACTGTCCTTCTTCAGATAGTGGATATAGACTAAATCTTGTGAATCCCCAAAAATGGTGAGCATCACATTTCTGGTCGATATAACAAGCTACACCTGCTTAGAAGCAAGTTCATCGAGTGAACTACACTGCTTTGGCTCTTCATTACTCTATTCCAATGCCTCGACGACTTCTCTACGGGCAAGAAACTAAACCGACTCTTCTTAGGGCTGCACTTTAGCTATAAGTATGTCAAACCTGGCTTTTAAGAACTTTATGGTTGCTTTTGCTGTCTACAGTGATCAAAACCAAACCTAAAACGATGGTTTATGCGATATTGACGCGATCGGTTGGAAACGCAAAGTATAATGGATCTTTCGAAAATAAACCCGCTATGAAAATAATAAATACCTTCTCCAAGAAACATCAAATTGAAGACTTTTAAGTTTTTGTGTTTGCAAGTATCTTTGGGTCTAACCACCAACGCTTTACAAATTGATTCGGTCCAAAACCTTCTTTAAATTATAATAATAAATATACCGACTTTTCAAACATTCTTTTTCTTGTACTGATCCTCTATTAAAATAAAATAAGTCTCACTTTTCTATTTTCTCTATTTTGCAACAGAGCCCACACCACATCGCGGCAGCGGCAAAAGACGCATGTCTTTCTACCGGCGCGAAGAACTAGAAGCACGTCGCAAAGGCAAGCGTGTACCGCAGTACAACTCTGTATCGAAAATCGATCGCGCATCTCGCATAGTCTTCCCAATGCTCTTTCTGCTCATCAATGTCTTTTACTGGTATGGCTACTTGTCACGCAGCTCACGAATCCTAGCGAATACACCGACGGCCACTTGATGTTACCTTTTAGCAATTTAGATAAAGTCCGAGAAGAAAACGAACGTACGGCTATGTGGTGGCGTTGAAGGCAACAAAAAGTTAAATTTACAAAAATTATTCGCTAATGATGTGACAAGCCATTGGTAAACTTGTTCCGCTAGTAAATTAAGTAAAAAATCTACATATTTTTGGAGAAACAATTTATGAAAACAAATGCTGCCGTTTAAATTAGAAAATAATTAAAATACTGCTAAGAAATTAAGCGAAAAAAATATTTCAGACAGACATAAAACATGTTAGCTTTCATCAGCTGTCACTGCTTACCACAATTTTGCTCAACAGCGTGCAACTCTTTTCTTCTTAACTAAATTGCTAAAATAAGGAAAATACTAGACACTAAAAAAGAGGGCTTTGTAAACTCGGTGTGAGAGTAACTGTTATGTAATTAAAACCGTAATTAAATGAATATTTGAGTACTAATAATGCATAATTAAATACACAAGCGTGATGACGTAAATCTTAGCTTTAAATAGACAAAAATAAAACAAGCTTAATTTGTTAAACAGTTTGAAAGCCACTAGGCATTGTGTGTGGGGACGTGCCCAATGTATTGTAAAAAGTTTTGAAAGCGTTGAAGTATTTCTAGGCCTTAACTGCATATACAAGAGCAGTGTGAGAAGGCATCGGAGATCGAGAGTGTAATGGAGGTGTTGTGTGTAAATGGTTAGAAAAACTGTTTCAGTTCATATATACATAAGTAATGTTATATACCATAAATAAAAAAATTATAAAAAGATAATAAATTTAACGTTTTTGTGGATAAAGTGTGCAGCACAAAATGTAAATATTTAAGTCTAAATATCGAAAAACTGCCCATCGGCTGGAGAAAGTATTGAGCTAGCTTTATTTAGCATAAGTAATGTAGTTTTAACCACTTGTAAATTCAGATGGATATTTAATGAGTTAAAAAGTTTGATTAAATTGTAAAAAATATAAAGATTTAGAAAATAAAAACAACAAACAAGTATATATTATTGTTATACATGCAGCTCTTAAATGTCTTAGCTTGCACTTCGTCTCAAATAATATTCGATAATTTTGCTTGTTTACGTACCCTTTGCGCCAGCAACGGGCCTCGTCGCTGAACAAAAAAAAGCCCATAGAGCGAAGCGAGCGAGCGGTTTCAATTCTTATACAAGCTGTATTTTGTGTGCGTAATCTGTCATAAAAAGGCTTTTGGAAAAAATACCTATACTTAGATCATCCGTTATATACATATAATTGCTTGGATTCGGATTCTCTGGTGGACCTTTTACTCCTTAAAGTCTTACCCTGACTTTGTTTATTACCTGACTCAAATGATAAAGTACTCGTAGCAGTTAGAATATAAATGTTACTGATCGAAATGATCGTGCTTATTTAAAAAAAAAAAAATATTTACCTATCTCAAAGCCTGCTGCCTTACTTTAGGCGTTTCACAAGGTGGTGAGACCGCCATAACTGACATAATTAAACTACCAAATCAACGCTGTATCTACTTACAACTGACATGAACGCCCTGCTGTAGCTTCTAACAATGAAAAATATATAACGAAGGAATAACGGCTTCCAGTTATCGAAGGAGCATAGTAGACGAAACGATGTTTGATATTCTTTTGTATGTAGATATTTTGGGTCAGTTTTCTGTCATATTCGGATTCGGCTCGTTCCGGATGACATTCGACCTCTTCATTTGATGAAAATATGAAAGGAAAGTGAAGAATATGGTGCATCAAAATCATCAGGAAAGTGTTAGAGATATGGCAAGAGCGCTCGATATTCCTCGCGAGTCCGTTTGAATAGGTTTGGTGGATATTTTTTGTGTGAAACATGTTTTTGCTCGACTCGTTCCGATAAAACTGAAAGCTTTCCTTGTTTGATCGCGCGAATTCCGATTCCACATTCACAGAGAGCATTATTACTGCCAATGAGACATAGGTTTATGAGGTTTACATTCAAACAAGTCAACAATCATTTGCATGGAACCCATTTTCAGTCGATCGAAGTGATAAAACAAATTTCGCTAAAGCAGCTGAGGGATAACACAAAAAATGCATATGAATAAAGTGTTTCAAGGAATGGAAAAATCGTTTTCAAAAGTATTTTACATCTGGTGGAGATTACTTTGAAGGCAACCAAATAAATATTGATGAATAATTAAATATTTTGCGTCTTATTTGCAATTTCCAGGCACTTTATTGCCACAATTTAAAGGGTATATAAAATATATTCTAAATAAGTTTCGTTATATGACCTAAAGAAGGCACGACCAAATCGGGTATATACTCTTGATTTACATTGGTATTCTTTAGCACCACATTAAATTCATAATCGCTGCTAGGACCAGAGCCAACAAGCAAAGTCTGGAACCCGCACTTGTGACCAAATAACATGTCAATCTCGCAACTGAAAACAAATATATTTATTTAAATATGTAAATATCTGTATTGAGGCGTTCTAGCATGAATCGACTTACACATCTCCGATCATGAGCGTACGCTGCGGTACAATTTTCTCCGACCTGATCAGTGCTCGACAAATTTCTGGATTCGGCTTGCCAAACTGCAAAGCTTTACGCTCCACACACGCCTCCACAGCCGCCGTCAGCGCAAAAGTGTCAGGTATACGATATTCGGGGAAACGAAGCATATTGTCAGCGTTCGTAGTCATGAAAAGACAATTCGCATTTGAGCTAATATAATTGCAGGCTTTAAACAATTTCACGTAAGAGAAATGTCTATCGAAGCCCACAATAACAGCACCCACATTCTCAGCCTCCTATTTGGCCACTTGTTGTGTAATCAAATCATCTAGTTTATCTGGTATTAGTTCGGCGCCGGTTCCGAAACTTTCAATACCAGCTTCGGTTAATGAATTGCCTACAGCTTCGGTGCCTATTATGTAGACTTTCTTTCGAAAATTGCGCGCCTTCAGATACTCAACAATTGAGTTTATAGGCGCTATAATGCGAGATTCATCTATTTCAAATCCACTTGCCGTAGCTTTCTGCCAGATTTCGCGACGCGTGTTCTTGCTATTATTAGTAACAAAATAAACTTCCTTGCCAAGCGATTTGAGTAATGCAATGGCTTCAGGTGCGCCGTCCAGGGCTTATTTTAGATTGCAAACGAGTCTTCACAAAAAGCGCTCTTGTTTACTCAGTACTTTTACTACCGCAAATTTTTCTCTATGCGCTTTACAAATATCAGTTACTCACCACGGCAATCCGTGAACACCGTATCGAAGCTGTTGAGCCACTTGGCCATTTCGGCTTTTATTAGCTCCACCAAATCTGTAGGCTTCTTGTTCATTTCTTACAAATTATTATTTGAGAAACCAAATAATTTTTTAATAACTTTAAGTGCCTGGTCCAACCGTTGAATAACTTTGCTCAAATGCTTATAAGCTACTCACAACAATAATCATATAATTGATAACTGACCAAAAGATCGTGTTTAGATAGTGATAACCGAAAGCTCACTGTCCTACTAGTTACTTAATCGTTTTGATAAAAAGTGGCATTAACAAGTTGGTGAGACTGTCACAGTGAAAGCCGATCATTATGAGTTCACTGCGATTTCACATAATTAAACTAATAAATCAAAGATATATTTACTTAGAACTTTTATGGTTGTTAAAGCTCAGCAAGCAAAACTTGTGGAATTTTAAATAAAGATTACAAATATGTGGACTGTGGGCAAAAAATAGTAAGACTTTTTCTCTATGAAGAAGATCCGACGTTTTCGAGCCAAATTTTTTTCAGCGATGAGGCTAAATGGGTAGGTAAACAAGTAAAATTGCCGCAGAAGAGATTTAAGAGCTGCTATTTCATCCCGTAAAAATAAGGGTTGGACGTAGTTTGTGCACCGGTGCACATCATCGGTCCATATTTCTTGAAAAATGTTGCCGGTGAGAACGTAACCGTCAATAGTGACCGTTGTCGCGCCATGATAACCAACTATTTGATACGTGAAATTAAAGCAAAGTGATCTCGGCGACATTTCTTTTCCAGAAGACGGCGCCACTTCCCACATAACGCATGATTGTGAGAACACTTCCTTGAGCAGAAAATTTCACGTTTTGCGTCGGTCGGTTGGTCATCAAGGTCGTGTAATAGCGTGGAGATATAAAAAGTCTAAAGTCTATGCGGACAATCTTTTCCTCGTTTTACTGAAAAAGCTGGAGAAAAACATCGCTCGGTAGCTGTCGACTAGTCGAAATGCTCGAAAGAGTCATCGAAAAGTGGACTCAACGAACTAACATTTGAAAGGGATAATCTTACAAAAATAAAAGGACAAGAACGGTCTTTCGAATGATTATAAACATTCCCCATTAAATTTGAATAGAAATTTTTGTGTTTTTTCTTTAAAAAAGTAGGGAATTTCGAAATCGAACAACCTTTAGTAACTATAATAAAAATCTTTAATTATCTTTATACTCGTTCACCTCCATAATAAAGAAAGTGTTTATTATTTTTTATTATTTTTTTTTTTCATAATTGGATAATTTCAAAGAAAGCCAAGTCATTAATTGTAAAAGAAATATTAACACTAACTGCAAATGCTTCTCAGCGGACGCTGCGATACTCCGAGACCACTTTTTCACACAAGCTCTGATCAAATCCAACAGTTCCGCTTTAAATACATTTTCTCCGATATTCTTAAATAAGCTTTTTTATATCAGCCAGTGAAGGCACGAAGAAGTCGGGTATAAAACCTGCATTTTCAATTGGCTGCTGCAGCACCTCGTTCAATTCATACACACTATTATGGCCTGTGCCCACGAGCAGAGTCTGGAAACCGCAATTGTGACCAAATAGGACATCGACCTTGCAACTGAAAATATATATTTATAACAAATTGTACTTCAACCTGCTTCTAATTAAGTCTCCACTTACACATCACCGATCATGAGCGTGCGCGCTGGCACCACTTTCCCCGACTTGATCAGTTGCTGACAAATCTCCGGATTCGGTTTGCCAAACTGCAAAGCTTTACGTTCCACACATGTCTCCAAACCGGCCAACAGCGCACCAGTACCAGGTATACGAAATGCAGGATAACGATGTACCGTATCGAGATTAGTGGTCATAAATAGGCATTCCGAATTCGAGCAAATATAATTGGAGGCTTTCAACATTTTGGCGAATGTGAAATGTTCATCGAAGCCCACAACAACAGCACCCACATCATCAGTGTCTTGTGTGGCCACTTGTTGTGCCAGATAGTCATTTAGTTTACCCTGTAGTATTTCCGGACCGGGTCCGAAACTTTCAATACCCACCGCAGCTAAACCATTACTTATGGCTTCCGAGCCTACTATATAGACTTTCTTGCGAAAATTACGCGCCTGCAGATACTCAGCAATTGCCTTTATGGGCGCCAAAATGCGGGATTCATCTATATCGTAGCCGATCGTGGTGGCTGTCTGCCAGATTTCACCACTAGTTTTAATGCCATTGTTGGTGACAAAATACACTTCTTTGCCGAGCGATTTGAGTAATGCAATAGCTTCGGGTACACCGTCTATGGCGACGCCCTCGTGCCACAGTACGCCTATGTGAGTTAGAGTATAAATTTATCAAGTGAAAGTGCAATAATCAAATGCGACTGAGCATTTTAGCTTGCTAAAGTTTGTGAAGAGCAAGTAGCGCAAACAGAAAGCTCTCGCTTACTCAGCACTTCTTCGTCGCTCAACACAAACCACTCAGTACTTTTACTATCGCACATTTTTTGTTTGTGCTGTGCAAATAATGAAATCAACAAAAACAAACAAAAAAAAAAAAACTCTTCCATTTGCACTCACCATCGCAATCCGTAAGCACCGTATCGAAGCTGTTGAGCCATACAGCAATTTCGGCTTTTGTTAGCTCGGTCAAATTCGTAGGCTGACTTTTGTGCATTTTTATTATTTTTTCGATTTTTTTTGTAATTTATTCAATATAACTTTTTACTAAATATTTTCCTATCGTCTTAACTTTTAATAATGAACACTGTCTCCAGCACACGCGTGGAATTACGTGCCACAAATGTTCGTAAAAGACCCGCAGCGGTTACAGAAAAAATGATAACTAATCGAAGAGAGAACAGCTGGTGCTTCTGTGACTTTTTGAACACCAAGTAGAGAGACCTAACTCTCCCCCATTGTATCCAAGTCGGCATGTTATATCATTATACTACTCAAGAACATAATCAATGTTATATTTGGTGTCACAATCTATATTTCTCTCTTTCGTAGTTTGTGCAAAGTAAACAAAAGTCCAATCAAGCGGTTCTGGAAACAGTTGAGAGACGCTGATGAACATAAAGTGATTAATTTGTGTAAAGTAGATAGTTTTGTTGAGGAATATGACAAAGATTTAGAAGAGGTTTGGAAATTTTCTTATGTTTTCAATTTAACGGTTGCTTTTTGAGACTTGCGATTTTCAAGGAAGTAATACTTTTTCGGAGTTGGTCTTGGTCTGGTATAAATCAATTATACTTAGTTAAGTTGAACAAATGGTTTAATAAACAGACTTACACTGAAACAACTTTCCTAAATCGTGCAAATTTATCAACGAAATATTGCTTCGGTTCGCGCGACTCAACGCACGCTGTTTCCAATATTCGGTCGACATAAAACCCCAGCAGTGTCGGCAATTCAAGCAACTATGGATTTGTTCGCTCCACCTTTACCCCAGTGGATATTGAGCGTCCTCAGACACACTTCATCCTCATCCTCAGACACACCATACAGTGCGCACCGATACCACTATTACTGCTGTGTGGCAGAGTATCGAAGAAAACCCGCATGAGTTCTGCCCACACCGCGCCAAACGATTGGCTATGCCTATACACTTTACAGAAAATTTTTCGGAAGCATTTTGGTTTCTGGGCTTACAGAATCAAATTTGAATAAGAATTGAAACCGAACGACCATCAAGCTTGTCGCAAGTTCGGTGAATTGGTACGAAAGGAAATAATCGGTCACCGATTCCGAATTTCACAAGAAAATTTTGTTCAGCAGCGAACCACTTGTTCAGAACGAGCTTTGGTGCCACCAAGACAGCGCTACATGCCGTAAAGCCAACGAAGCTCCGTTTGCAGTAAGAAGTGGTCGAAAATTGGGCCTCTCTGTGTGAGTTATGATTAGTGAGGAACAGAACTGTGATGATTGTGTTAGCCTTAGACGATATTAATGTATCCATTATCGGTTTACCACAGTTCTTACAACGGCCAGGTCTAAGTACCCAGAACGGACGCTATATAGTTTATCTCTCTTTATCCTGGAGGCAACTCTGTAGGAAACTGTTTATAAAACGCTGTTGTGTTCATAATCACTTCCCCACCGTTATTACGACAGTCAGATCTATGTAAATATACCGAGGCGAGATTTTTGTCCATCGAAGGACTAACCACTCGGCAGCATTCAATTAAAAATATTGAGGATTATTTACCACTACAACAATAACATGATATGTGCGTCAAGCGTTCAGCTGGAAATTAAAGTCTCAAGCCAAGATGACATGCGATTCATGGCGATCCGTATTTAACTAAATAAACGTAGACTACGTGAGATTGATGCTGCATGTTGTTGCAAAACTATCGTCATGTGTCTGTGATAGGCAACTGCCGACTTTTGAATAAACAAGTTTTTGCCGTTAGACGTACATATTTATATTTATTTGCATAGCCGATTATGAGTCAGTATTGTAGAAAATATCGTCTATATAAACATATATGCAAATAAATAGATTTGCTTTCGTAGCAGACCCCACTAGATTTGTATAAGTAAAAGTAATTATACCCTGAACAGGGTATATTAAGTTAGGCTTATCTGTCTGTCTGTATATACGCGTTCTAATCCCTTAATTATTTTTTTTTTATTTTAGAAGAAAGTAACCCATTTGACAGTTACGCCGGTATCCACCATACAAACTGATCGATTAAAGTCAAGTTCTTGTATGGAAAACTTTTTTATTTAACGAGATATCTTCGCGAGATTTGGCATATATTTGTCTTCAACGTCACTGTACAATCTCCGTTACCATATAAACTGATCGATCCAAATCCAAGTTTTTTATTTTAGAAGATATCTTCATGAAATTTAGCATGCCTTTTTTCCAAGCCACCACTATAATCTCCGAAAAAAAAATTTCAGATCGAACCCCTATAACATATAGCTGTCATACAAACTGATCAATCAAAATCATGTTCTTGTATGGAAAACTTTTTTATTTAAGAAGTTTTTGTGATGATCGAATCACTTTAACCATTAGCTGTCATACAAACATCAATACAAATGAAAATGAAAAAATTTGTATGGAGTTTTTTTTTCTGTGAAGGCTATTTTCTTTTTTTTCTATTCTTTTCTTGTTTTTTATTTAAACAAAATACATTTTATAAGTATATACATATACGTAAACATCTTATACGTCAATTGATTTTATTGCGATAAAGTGATTGACAACAGCCCAGCCCCTGCTGCTGCTCGTTTTTAATATTCTAGAAAAGGGAAAATTCCTAAAGGTTCTCAAATGAAAATAACAATTGTAAAGTCTAATCTTTTTTAACTGATTACTTTGTTTTCTGCTGTTACCAATGATTAATTGCTTAGGGATTAGTTGATGCAATCACCTGCACAAACGTACAAATTTCTCACAATAAATACTTGTGGAAATCAATGTACATGCCAAATATACATATGTACAAACTTACATATGTACATAAAAATGTACATATACATATATATATATATATATATTATTTATTGTGGTTGGAAAAACAAAAATTTGCAAAATCTAAATAAATTTTGCTTTGTTATATAATTATAATAAATATTGTTTTGCAAAATATTTTATTAATTTAATTTTTTTATACTTACATATACCATTTTTAATAAATTGCCAGCCTAAAAATAAATATTTGCACTTGTTTTCAATATAATTATTATTTTTTTCTGGAAATTTAAACAAATTTATTCAAATTTTTATATAAATTAAAATTAAATATTATTCACGCGATAAACTTGAGCGATTTATATGCTTTTAGTCACGGAATGTCAAGCCAGCCGCATTCCAAAGACTTACACATACACATATATATAGTTTGCTGTTCAACAACATTGTAAAAAGAAATACAATTTTGTGTATATACATACATACATAAAAAACTAGAAAAATATTAAAATATTTAATGTGATTAGCTTATATAAACATATATTTAAAGTCCACTATATATGTATGTATATACATATTTCATATAAACTCAAAATATAAACGAAAATTGAAAATAGAAAATAAAATTACATAAACTCCATAATTTGTTTTGATATTTATATAATATATGTATAGTTCATAAAAAATGTTTCTATAATTATTATTTATACAGTTATGATGATAATATTCTCTTATTAATTTCATATAATACGTATATATAATATAAAAAGTTAATATTAATTTTAAAAATATATTTTGCTAAAGATTGCTTTTAAATAAGCGCCAGCAAATCCGCAAGTCTCGGCAAATATACATCAGGTATGAGTTTTTTGTGCTCCGGATCACTAGATTGCTGCCAAACATGCACATCGCTCAACTGATTGACACCTGTGCCGACCAGCAACGTCTTGAAACCGCAATTGTGGCCCAGCACTATGTCACTGCCGCAACTAAATATTAAAATATAAAAAAAAACCATATAAAATCATTGTTAAATTAATAAATATAACTTTTCCCAAAATTTCAAACCCTTCACATAAACAACTCACCAATCGCCGATCATAAGCGTACGCGCTGGCTTAATGCTGCCATTCTTAATCAGCCACTCACAAATGCTGCGATTCGGTTTACCAATCACAATCGGTTCGCGCGCCGTACACGTCTGCACGGTGCGCACAATACTGCCCGCATCGGGTATCACCATGCCAGTGATTGGGAAGCGTTCATCCGTATTTGTAGCGATGAACAGACACTTTGGATCCGACAAGTACACGGAAGCCTTAATCATTTTACAAAAACTGAAGTGCACATCGAAACCCACAACCACAGCGCCAATATCCGTTTCCTTACGCAAACCGGACTGTATATATGCGGTTAGGCGACCGGACATAACATCTGGCCCCACTTCAGTGTGCTTAATGCCCACCGCCTTCAGTTCGTCTGTTATGCCAGCCGTGCCTATAACGTACACTTTGCGCTGGAAGTTACGGGATTTCAGGTAGGCGGCAGTGGCGTAGGAGGAGGATATAATGCGATCGGCGCTAATATCGAAACCCATGTTGTGCGCTTTCTCGTATAATTGTTGACGCGTACGCGTTGAATTATTTGTGCACAGGTAAATTTGTTTGCCTAAACGTTTGAGTTGGCGCATAGTTTCCGCGGCACCTTCAATCACATTATCGCCCAGCCAAATAACACCTGGCGTCGTAAGGATATTTAAAATTGCAGTGTTTTTTTATTTTAAAGCCGTGTGGCAAATGCGCTGTACTCACCATCACAGTCACTAATAATAGTATCGAAGCTGTCCAGCCATTGACGCACCTGCTCCAAAGGCTGCTCCAATAAATTCACACAACTTCCTTGATACATATTTGCGTTTTTAAACTGTTACTTGGGAAAATTCAAGTTAAGAGGCGCGCTTAAGCTTATTTACAACTTCCAACAGCTTTTGTGTCTAAAATAATTCTGAACCTCCAACGGTGTTTATAAGGGAATAAATTCAGCGCATATAGTCTGGAGTCGTGATGCCCTTTTAACCCTTTTCGATCTGGTTTGTGATAAGCGCATATCACATGAAATTTGTTATTTTAGAAATCTTGTTATTATTTAACTTTTTAGTTTATTCACAATTTTTCACACTCGACCTTTCATAACACTATTTGTACAAAAGAACATTGTCGGACAGCAATGCAAGTAACATCAATACACAACTATAATTAAAAAAAAATTTGGTGTACATATACAAATGTATTAAAAATTGTTAGCGTACAAGTTTAGGTTAGCTAAATTGTTGTCATTTTAAAAGAATATTTACTAATATAATACCAAATAAAGGTAAAGTATAATATATATATATATTTGTAGCAATGTTGTGTGTTTCTGCTTCGGTTTTTAGTTTTTGCTTTCGTTTAGTGCTTGTTATTGTTATTACATTATTATTATTATTATTTTTTTTTTGTTTACAGCCCACTAACTTAGAAACGGCTGCTGTGGGTACTGATTTCATATTTATGTTATTGTTTAAAACTAACACTACATAAATGGCAGCAAATCGCCCAATTTGGGCAAAAAGACATCGGGTATTAGCTTCTTCTGTTCGGGATCATCGGATTGCTTCCACGCCTCCACATCGTTCAGCTTGTGTATGCCGGTGCCGACAAGCAGCGTTTGGAAGCCACAATTGTAACCCAGCAGTATATCGGTGTTGCAGCTAAAAGCAAATAACGGTATCATCAGCAAATGTAATACACATAACACCATATGCAACACTCACCGATCGCCAATCATTAGTGTACGCGCCGGATCAATTGTACCCTCATTTATCAACCACTCACATATGCTTGGATTTGGTTTGCCAATTACAAAAGGTTCACGTTCGGCACATGTTTGCACTGCGCGCACAAAACTACCCGAACCGGGTATCACCATGCCGGGCATCGGAAAACGTTCATCCGTATTTGTTGCAATGAACAGACACTCCGGATTATCCAAATACGAAGCGGCTTTGATCATTTTGCAAAAACTAAAATGTTCATCGAAACCCACAACCACAGCGCCAATTTCGGGATCTTTACTAAAGCTGGTCGCCAGATAATCGGCCAGTGTGCTGGTCATTACATCGGGACCCACATCGCTATGCTTAATGCCCACAGCATCCAGTTCACCCGTTATACCGCCGGCGCCTATCACATACACTTTCTTCTGGAAATTACGCGCCTTCAGGTATGCAGCAGTTGAATGCGCTGAAGAGATCATGCCGTCGGCTGTGATGTCGAAGCCCATGCTGTGCGATTTCTCAAGCAGCTGTTGCCGTGTTTTGGTCGAGTTGTTGGTACAAAAGAATATCTTTTTACCAATCGTTTTGAAGCGATTCATTGTATCCACAGCACCTTCGATGACATTACTGTATACCCATAGCACACCTAGGCGGAAAGTGTGAAAATAATTAGTAAAATAAAAATCAAAATTCACACTGCAGAAAAATTCCGACTCATTACTTTTATAAGACAAGAAACTACATGTACATGCATAAATACATACACACACACATACATAAACCAACTATTAGTTCCAGTTAACCATTATGTATACTGTCATTCAGAATTTACAACCGTGACATTGTCATTGTGCTAATAGACACCTTGACCACATTATCACTGTGGATAGTATGTACATACATACATTTGGCTTCACTACACATTTCATGGACATACATACATATATGTACATATGAATAGATTGCTGGTACGTCAACAAAACGCACACGAAAATTTCCACAGCATACATTATAAAATAAAGTTTAGGATACCGCTACCAATACGAATTACGCAATGTTGCCTCATAGTTTATAAGTACCCAACGCAAATTTATATATGCCGCAAAAAAAACTTATCGCAATGAAATTGTGAAACACTCAGCCAAGTGACCTTAAAGGTCAAAACTTTTTGCACTTCGCTATTCTCGGTCTTACGTTATGTGTTACATACGTTATATATTTTAATGCACTTACCATCGCAATCGGTGATGACAGCGTCGAAACCGTTCAGCCATTCCTTGACCTTCTCCGGTGACTGCTCCAGCAGATTCGTACAAGTTTGTTTGTACATGTTTGTATAGTGTTTACTAAGTACGCTATAGCCTCTGTTACCCGTATTGCTAGTATATAAGCGTCGCTAAACTGACATACAATTATTAATCCTTTGCGTGTCCACTGTATTAAATGCACACAACCACAATCGTAGAATCCACTGCGTTGACTGTTCAATTGACTGCCAATATTACCGCTACTACTGTCGCCACTTTCGCTTCCACCACTAAATCTGCCGCAACCAGTTTCTATTGGGAGGCAATTTATTTTTTGGTATAGCTTTTTTCTTTTTTGAGGAAAAATAATGTATAAGTACGTATTTATTTTGCTCTTTTGCCATTCACGATCACGTTTGAAGAAGCAGAACGCACCAATAGCAATTGGCAGAGAACACAGCGATAAAAGTGGCACGTTCCAAATGTTTGGTGAGTCAGGCAATCATAAGTGATTGGCTCTCTCACGCCTGCTCCATAGCGCGCTGCACTTAAACCATTTATGTACTATACATATGTGACAATGTCAGTCCAATGTCTGGCTCCTCAACACGTGCGTTGCTGTGACAAAGCCACTTATCGATTTTCTACAATTATGTATAGCGCAGTCTGCACCACTTTTGCCTCTACAACAAAGAACTAAACTTTTTTGATATATAACGTTTGCTCTTTGCCGCTGTACTCTATGCAATATTATTTGAATTTGCTGATAACTCTATGTTGCTCTTGAATTTCACAAATTAATTTACTTATCGAAGAGTTCAGCGCACCTCCCTCTGGCAGTGATAAGGAAACGTTTTCTTCAATAGTCCGCGTATTTGTTTGACATTGACGTTTGCGTTTTCAGCTTTTCCACTTGCCTTTGCTCCATTCATCAAATTTCACTATTCACGCGCAGAAAGAGACAAAAATTGAGCACAAACTTAATTTTTTTTCTTTTTATAATTCAAGAAAATGTAAAATCAGCAGAATGCAATAAATTGCACTTATTTTGTTGCTACTTTTAACATCGTTTTTCAACTGTATTTGGCGTTTCTGTAACAGCTGATTTATTCATTCTCTGACACTGGTATATATGTACGTAAATAAAACAGAAGCGAAAGGGCGGAAAATTTTACATTTTATTAATTGTTTTCGGGAAATTTAATTACGTTTTAATTTGTATTTAAGTGAAAGGAAAACTTCTTATTACATAAGTTAATTTCACTATTTTTATATTTTCTTACAAAAAATACATACAATTTTGTTTTAAATTTGTAAAGAGATCAATTGCTCAGTGACATATACTACGTTAAAATTTAACAGCGCTCTCTTCTCTGGTATTCAATGACATTGCGTTTCTTGTGCTTTATAAGTTTTTGCATCCCATCGCTTTTCTCTAAACAAATTATTTGGCAAATTGGCTATAAATAAATGTAATCGTTAATCGATGAAAACGAACATTTTACGATTATTCATAAAGAATTTTGTTGTTAACACTTTAGCGGGGCAGGAAGTAATTTAAATCTGCCAATTTCGGTATATACGCATCTGGCATTAAATGCTTTGCCAAATTACCGTTCAACTTCTTCAAGTGTAGCACATCACTCCACGTATGTGTACCCGTACCAACTAGCAGTGTTTGAAAGCCAAGATTGTGTCCAAATGGCATATCCGTTTGGTAGCTAAACGCATAAAAATTAAGTAAACAAAAATAATCATTTCAAAATAGCTGCCACGTACTTATCGCCTATCATTAGAGTATTTGCAGGTTGTATCAGACCGTTTTGAATATATCGCGTGCACATATTTGCACTAGGTTTCCCAATAACAAACGCCTTTCGACCGGTGCAATACTCAATGGCCGCAACAAAACTACCAGTGCCTGGTAACACCATATCACCTGTATATGAACTTGCGTCCACATTAGTGGCAAGAAATAAACAGTTCGGATTTTTCAAATAAGTCACAGCTTTAGCCAACTTACAAAAGCTAAAATGTGTGTCATAACCAACAATAACTGCACCCACATTCGCTTCCTTTCGGAATTCTGTCGCAAACTTTTCAACAGTTTCATGCATTATATCTGGCCCGCTATCATTATGTAAAACTATACCAGCCGCATCTAATTCGGTGGTGAGCGCTTCAGCGCCAATAACATATGCATATTTAAGAAATTCCAAATCTTTTAAATATTGCGCTGTTGCATGCGCCGTACAAAGCACCTCATTTTCACGTATATTGAGACCCAAACGTTCTGCTTTAAAAGCATGTTGTTGACGCGTTTGTGTGGAATTATTTGTACAAACATAGATTTGCTTCCCGCTTGCTTTCAATTGGTTAAGAGCATCAATTGCACCCGGTATTGGTTTGTCGTAGATCCAGAGAACACCTGAAAGTAAATTTAGTTTACAGTTAAATTAATGGCTTTAACTATTTGAAATTTACCTTCGCCGTCTGCTATGATCGTTTTGAATAGATTTAACCAAGACCTCACCTCCGTTGCTGGTTGAAGCAATAAATTTGTGCATTGTTTTCTGATTGTTTTCGTAGTTGTGTATTCAGTTGGCCTTGAGAAAGGTTTGCTCGTATCAAAATGCAAATTTTGACAAATTTTTAGAAGGCCAATAAGATCAGCGAAACGGGATAGAAAACGCATATTTTTAAAATTATCTAACCATTTTTTCATGTAAAATAATTTCTACTTTTTTTTCAAAGTACTGAAAGTGCGCTATTTGTAACTTCATTTGTTTACTTTTATTTTAATTTTTCGTCACTAAAGTTACTTTCATACATTTTTATTATTTTTTATGTTCTTAGTACCTCTTATTAATTGCTAAAGTATTATTTTGTATTAAACTCCCTAAAAAGAAAAACGTCATTTTATACTAAACTAAATTTAAATAAACTAACGGTAATTTTAATTAAAATGTTTTGTAAATATTTATATATGTATGTATATCGTTTTTCATATGTATGTATGTAAAATCTTGGCCCAATAGTGCTGCTGTGCAGCGCTCTTGACACAATGGTGGTTTTCATGCTCTTAAATTTACAAATTACCAGTCGTTTGCTTTCCAAATTATCCATGCATGTGCAATTCTTCTATCGTTATCATAATAAAATAAAAAGTTTATTCAAATCAAAATTGCAATTGATTTTACTTTTCCCCACATACCCACTAATAAGCGATCAATAATTCTTTCAAAATTTTTTTTTGTATTTGAAAGTCGTCGTATTCAAATTTACAAAAATGCAAAATTCCAACCTTATTTATTTTATAAATTTATGGTGTCATTAATAAATTGTAAATATTTTATTATTAACGCTTGCTTAATCACACATCCATAGATAATTACTCATTGAACGACTACGGCACTAAACTAATTATGCGGTCACACTTTTTAAATAAAATTATATTTACTAGCTGTTTGTTTATACACAACTTTTTTTGATTAGAATAAATTATTTGAATTGGAAAGTGTGTATTGAAAAACAAAATTACATTAAAATTAAACTAATCATTAAGTTACTGTTTCTAAATCTACATAAGAAAATTGCAATTTGCAAAATAAACATTTGCTGAGTTTGTTGCTGTTTGCATATATTAGTTTGCTAATTGTGTGAGGATACAAAATGTGTGTTTGTGTTTTCTCTTGCAATATTAAGTTTCAGCGCGACGCTTTTATTTTGCTTTCTTTTTGATTCACATTTTCATTACTTTTTGTTGCTGCATTCACTTTTGCACCACGAGTGCATTTTGTCACATCACTACAGCATTAATTGCTGTGATATCGTGCCCATGTCATTTAGCATCGGCGCTGGTGTCATTTGTTGCTGTTGCACTGGCTGTTGCATAGCTACCACTGTGCCGGGCATAACATTTACACCGCTGCCTACTGTACCCGCATTACCACTACCCCCAACCATTGGCGGTATGCCACCCATTGTAACGCCACCCACACTGCCACCACTCACACCAACACCTGTACCGCCGCCGCCGCCGCCGCTACCACTGCCACCTGCCACGGATCCTGCAGCTGAGGGCTCTGGACTATGGCTTTTCTTTTTACGTTTTTTCTCCTTTTTCCGTTTCTTACGCTCTTTATCGTCTTCATGCCGTTTTTGTTTTTTATGTTTACGCTCGTAGGTCTCCAGTCCAGCGGAATCTGTAAGCAAGCCAGAGAGTTAAACGTGTGTTGGTACAGAATTTCTGCCGTTACAACAACAACAACAACAACAACGTGTGTTGGTATAATGTAGCGTTGTAATTCTTACCCATGAGTGATGTTTCTTGTGGCACAGCGCCGTCTTTGTGTTTGTGCTTTTTATGCTTATTTTTGTGTTTACGTGCGGGCGTCGTATTCAGCGCACGATACTGTTCAGGTAGCTAAAAAATGAACACAATGTCAAATATTTGCAATATTTGCAGTGTGTTTTTAAAAGTACTCACAGGTCCAGGATGCAGGCGGAAACCGGCTAATTGTACGGCAGTTAATGGCACTAATTCCTTGCCCACAATCGGCGGTTTTTCAATAACACTACGCAGTGTGCTGTTTTCCTGCATTACAAGGGGTGTTTTATAAATCACAATTATCATATTATTCTATGTACAACTTAGTACTAACCAGATTGCTTGTGGTGTCGTAAATGCCAGGTAGGTTGGGTAGAAACGACGCTAGCGATTCTTTTACTTTTTTATCCTTAAACTTAGTTAGTGTGTGATGCAAACCATATTCGGTCATTAAGTCTTTATCACCCGTCAATTCGCCTTTGCCTAAATAAGTAAATTCAAATATTATTTTTTACTTAAAATCTATAAATGATACTTTCATTGTAAATTATGTTCAAATATTCTCGTTATTTAAATATTAAAAACTATATAATCGTTGTGTCTAACTTTGCATAAGCTAACCTGGTGGTTCTTTCCATAAGTAAAAAGGTCCTGTCTGTATTATCGTTGGCGTTTTGCCAAGCGATATCGTAGTCTTAAGTGTGCCCGATGAATCCTGCCTCGACACCACAGGTGATCGGCCACCGTGTGGTGATGACTTTGGGGAATATGTTGTACTATCCATTTTGCGAAATTGGTCGCCAATCATCATGTTGCTATAATTGTTCATCATGCTGGCTTTTATATAGATTGTAGTGCTACCACTTCATCGGTATAATATAAGATGGGGCGAGAAATTCTTCATCCAATATGTGTAATTTATACTCCTAACACGTACACTCCCACACAATAAACGTTAATTTTCGTGTTTCAACACCAAGGACTTTACAAATTATTTTATTCTGAATTGCACTAAAAAATTGTCTGCCGTTACAATTCCCCCGTACTGCTAGTGTTGCTTCGTCTGCATAGCGTTTGCCAACTTGAGCATTTAGCTCTGCTGCGACGGTAAATTTTGCTGCACTGAATTTACTTCCAAGGCCACTTTTTCTGCGCCTTCGGTGTAATATAAGTCTTCCACTCAACTTAATAACAATATTTACGTATTTATATGTACTTTTTACGTGTTTTTGAACATAAATAATGAAATTTAAATTTGCGAAAAATACACAGAAGATTTCGATTTTATCGCCATCTTAAGACTGACCAAATGCGAATGTCAGACTACCTTTAAAGCTGTCAAAAGCGCGATAAAAATTGGCAGAAAAGACAAATTAACGTGTGAAAAAAAAAAAATGTTGAAGATTAAAAAGAAAGCAAAGGGTTTGTGTATTGGCTAAACTTAACGAATGTGCAGATAATTCAGAAATAATTTTTACATAGCATTCACATTAAATATTTTAAA